GCTTCGGTGTTATCCTCTCTTTCGAGAGGACGTTCGGTGTGCCGGCTCATATGGCCTCGAGAATGAGACAAAGGGATTTCCCGTACCGGATACGATCCTTGGGGCATCTGGTGTCCCTGAGCTTGCATGAGAAGTTCCCGCATCGCCATATTCTGAGCTGCTATGTCTCTCATGCCTGCAGCTATCTGGGCCATTCCTTCGGTGAGTAACGCTGTTCTTTCACCTTGTCGACGCCGGTGATGCGGTCTCTGATGAGTAACATTGTTATGAAGTACCTCCTCTTCAGAGGCCTCTCTGATGGGGTTGTCTTCACGGCTGTAGCTCATCCTACCTCTTCTTTCAAGGATAGTAAGAACTTGGATTGTAACTTGACTTTTATTCTTTTTCAAGAATGCCTCCCTTTTCAGGGTCAGTCGCCGGTTTTCCGGTGGCTTCTCCGACGGGGAATGTAGGACTTTGAATGGGGAATGACGTTTCCCACAGACGGCGCCAAACTGTTGACCTCTAAAAATGGCTCTTCCACGTGGCCAACTTGTAGCTACTCCACGTATTCCTCCCTACGAAATGAACAAACTGTCAGGCGCACACGGCCGGAACCGACGGGGGTGGCGGCCGTATATACTCCGACGGTCAAGTCAGGTTTGGGTGGTCGAAACAGTGTCCAGGGACTACACAAATCAATCAGTCAATAAAGGGGGAGGAGAATATATAAACTTGTTATGGAGTGCTATCTATTGAGAGTTTCATTACCTTTGCCTCTGGCCAATCTTTGGGTATTTATAGGTGGTATGAACCGTGGGATGTGGAACACGTGTATACATCTGACGGTATGAAGCGTCTGCTCATAGACGTCAATCAGCCGCGCTTGTAGAGTGGGCGGACAGTTTGTTTCCCCCGAGTTGAATTGACATAAAGTTGATAAGTCACATCAAATAGCTTTATGGGGGACGTCAAATCAATTTAAACCTTATATGAAGAGCAAATCTTAAATTGGCAGCGAATCTTCTAACGGGGGTCCACTTGAACCCGACCTCAGAGACGGGACACTTCGGCAGATCAGTGACAGGAATCGGTGTATCACTTTGGAGAAGCTTCGGGAGGTCGGAGTGATCTATTTGATTTCACCGGCTTCGGAGTGGCGAGATGACACTTCGGTTACTTCAGTACCGAGGCTCGTAAAATGAGGCGTAACAAAAACTATATATACAAATAACAAAATTCATTTGACAATATTGATAATGCTATAATTATATGACATTTTCAAAATATCAGGACACGAACTTACTTTTATTAATACTATTTTGTTTTTAAAAAATTGGATTTTAATTTTTGATCCCACAACACGAAAGGTGGACCCTACTTTTTTATCTCAATAAGTTATCATTATCAAAATATAGCTCATTTCTACAAAGAAAAGTGGCATTCTCTTCCAATCTTGACACGATTAATTAAGTGAAAATATCTAATTACAGATGTCAATTCATAAAGTTAAATTGTATCAATGCATTCAAAGAAGATATATGTAGGAATTATGCTCTATAAATACTATGCTCCACAGTAGATGTGCTATGTCTATTGCTTTGTTCCATTCAAATTCAAATTTTTAGTCAAATTTTCCTAAATTTTTATTGGTGGAAATGGAAACCAAATGAAATCAAATACGAGGTGAAGAATATTTAATAATAAATATATTAAAAACAATGCCCCCTAACGAGTAATTCACAATTCAGAAACAACTGTTCATGTAATAAGATCCGAATCTGCTCATCAGAACATTCCATGCAAGTGGCTGATCAACGGCTCTAAACCCCTCGCTCAATGCCTCCCAAAAGTTCCCCTGATGGCATCATTCGAGCATCCAAAATAGCACCCTCTCCTTTTAATCGGGAAAAGGAAGTCATTTTTCGCCAACTCATACTATTCTCTCTTCCCCGTCTTTGCCTGCCGCCTCTATCTCTCCCCCTCTCTCTCTCTCTCCCGTTGATTTTCCGGAAAATAGATTTTCCGGCGACATTTCAAGAATTCAGCACTTGAGTTTTCTTGGATTCTTGATTTGCTTTGTTGTTTGTATTATAATATCTATTGCTGGGTCTCTTTCTTTTGACTTGTCGGAAAAGTTATATAACTTGATTTATTTATAATCTCTTTTTCATACCCTGTTTCTCATTCATTTCTCGACTACTTTACCTGTTTTAAAATTTCCATCTTTTTTCGTTTGATCTTAACAATTTGCAAGAATTCTTTTAAAGAAATCTTGCACCTGTGTTTATAGATATGGTGATGGCTGTGTCACCAAGGAAATCGATAAATAAGGTGTTTGAGAGGGTTGGGGTGTATGGTTTTGGAGGGAGCAACCAAAAGAGGTGCAAATATGCAATTGAAGATGAAGATGAGACCATGGAAATGGAGCAGATTGGCGCTGAAAGGACAAAAAATGTGCTGATTCTGATGAGCGATACTGGTGGCGGTCACCGTGCATCGGCGGAGGCAATTCGAGACGCATTCCAGCTGGAATATGGGGATGAATATAGGGTGAGTTAATTAATGATTTCTTTTTAAAGTTAGGCCTTTATTTTGGGGTAAGTAATTTTTCATAGATTTGATAAATTCTTGGGGCTAATACTTGCTTATTCGTTGATGGGAGCTTGCATTCGCAGCTCCTATGAAAAAAAAATGGTTTCTTCCATGTTTTTTGATGATATACTAATCATTCATGTTCTACTATAGATTTGAGTTTCTGAAGTTTGATGTATGATACTAGTAGTCAGAATTGTGTTTCAGCTAATGTTTTTGTTTTTGACTCATGAATTGAAAGCTTCATATTTCCTTAATTTTGCAGATTTTTGTAAAGGATGTTTGGAAGGAGTACACTGGCTGGCCGCTGAATAATATGGAAAACCAGTACAAGTTCATGGTTAAACATGTGCAGCTTTGGAAGGTTGCATTTCATAGCACCTCTCCTAAATGGATACACTCTGCCTATCTTGCAGCCATTGCCGCCTTTTACGCAAAGTATGCGTTCTTTCTCCTCATGATTGCTTTCATCTCGATTCTTGATTAAGATGGAATTTTACTACCCAACAAGTGTAACCAAAGAGAGTAACTAGAAATCATTTATGTAGTCGACCCTAAATTTATCGGGAATGAGACTTAACTTGACGTCTGTTTATTGTTTTTGCCAACAAGCGGCTTTTGTATTTCCTAAAAACTTGCTAATACCATTCTTAATGCAAATACTTAAAGCACTTGCTAATTTCTGCTGTATGTTTTCGTATTTAAGGGAGGTTGAGGCTGGCCTAATGAAGTACAAACCTGATATCATCATCAGCGTCCATCCTCTTATGCAGCATATTCCATTGTGGGTACTGAGATGGCAAGGATTACAGAAGAAAGTCATTTTTGTTACGGTCATTACAGATCTCAACACATGCCACCGCACATGGTAATTATAACAGTATTCTTATTTCGTTTTTCGTAATATGTTAAATGGATTTGTGATTTTTTTGCTCTGTTGAACTCAAATCAGCGCGTACTACTACTAATATGGAAATGTTATGCGTTAAGGTTTCATCCATCTGTCAATCGATTGTACTGCCCCTCACAGAAGGTAGCTGATAGAGCTTCACTAGATGGACTCCATCAATCTCAAATTCGTGTTTTTGGTTTGCCCATCCGACCTTCTTTTGTTCAGGCGGCTCTCTCCAAGGTGAAAGTCGTTTTTCATCTGTCTAATGTTTCGTAACTAAGCAAGTCATGTAAAGAAAACATGAAAATTTGAGTTGTATGGTGATTTGGCTCACGGATGTTCTTTCTTTAATAGGATGATTTAAGAGTTGAACTCGAGATGAATCTAAACTTGCCAGCCGTCCTGCTAATGGGAGGTGGCGAAGGGATGGGCCCTGTAAGGAAAACGGCCGAAGCTTTGGAAGAATCTCTCTATGATAAAGAACTCAGGAAGCCAATAGGGCAATTAATTATCATCTGTGGCCGCAATGAGGCGCTAGCCTCCACATTGAAATCACTTGAATGGAAAATCCCTGTCAAGGTAACAGCATCCATGCTTGAGGAATTGTATTGAACTGCAAAATAAATGCTCTCCTTTTGGCAAAATATTTATTTCGATTTGTGTTTTTCGATATAGGTTAGAGGGTTCGAGAAACAAATGGAGAAATGGATGGGTGCTTGCGACTGTATTATCACAAAAGTACGTTATTGTTCTTTATCTTCATTCAATTTGATGTACCTTACCAATAGGATTGGATGATATCAAATATGCAAAAGAAGTTAAGATCTTGTTCGTACTGCCTTAAACTATGTTACTGATCTAGCAATTTGGATTAGATTTTAACAAGTTTATCGATTTATAGGCTGGACCGGGTACCATCGCGGAAGCATTGATAAGAGGACTTCCGATTATTCTGAACGATTACATTCCCGGACAAGTATGCCCACCAAACTTCTATTACTTCTTTCGGGTGATTTCCTTAGACATTAACAAATATTGTTACTAATATACGTTTGTTTCGACTTTGATAGGAAAAGGGAAACGTTCCATATGTAGTTGACAATGGAGCAGGAGTATTCACCAGAAGTCCTAATGAAACCGCTCGACTAGTGGCAGAGTGGTTTAGCACAAAGACGGATGAGCTCAAAAGAATGTCAGAAAACGCCCTAAAACTCGCCCAACCAAATGCAGTGTTCGACATTGTGAAGGACATTCACGAACTAGCCTGCCAACGAGGTCCCCTCGCGAACATCCCTTATGTTATGACGTCTTCATTTTCGAGCTTAATTTACTAATAAACATTCAAATTCTTCGGGAGGACTAAGGTTTGCCCTCAAGTAGGATGCCATCCATAGATATCTAGCTTTCGTGATATTATTCTTTGGCTTCAGCAGATGCTCAAGTTGTAACTATTTCATTAGATAAACTCTCTCAATGCTTTAGTCGAAACTTGAAAGAAAGAATTGTCTCGTGTTGGGATCTCGGATTTCTGGTGATCTCCTTTTTTTTTTTTTTATTGCTGCCTAATTATATGTTGTCTTGGTTTCTAATTATATGTTGTCTTGGTGTCTTTGTAACTTTACTTTGAAATGACCTTATCTGTTGCATATTGAATGTTGAATGACTTGTGTAATGAAGTTGCTTCCAAGCTTGGAGAAACAGTTATCAGCAAATTCAAACTTCTAAGCATTACCTTAATAAAATATTTATCTAATTTTTTCATTTAAACAAAACGTGCTCATCTCGAACTCAATTATCACGTGATTGTCTAGTCTGAAAGTTTAAAATTTATCTTTGTACTTTTCTAACACTTTCCTTGACAAGAAAATTGAAATTATTTTTACGTCAGAAGTTTAATGTAGAACTTTTTGTGAACTAGTAACGACAATGTCAAAACTTGTGTCAATTCAAAATTTTATTGGACCAGTTAGAAAGAAGGAAAAATATTTATATACTCCTATCATTAAAGATTACTAATGGGTTATAATAATACATTTTTTAATATAATCAGATTTTAGAAAGATTTGATATAATGAAGGAAGCAAGTTGCAATTAAATTAATTATTTAATTAAATATTATAAATCTTGAGTGTGCAGCCATGTTCCAACTTCCAACCTGTGATGTCATAGTGGCAGTGATTATATTATTTGGAGTTATATATGAATATTTGTAGGTCAATGGTTGATTGAGGACCACATCAGAAATCAGTACCAAGTTGGAATATGATATCCAATGAAATCTGGCTTCCTCTATGGCCCACTACCAAACTTGACCTCCACCTTAGATAATTACAAATATATTTTGATCTGTACAATTCTCGACGAATAATACTATTCATTTCTAGTAGCGATGATCATCAATTTATGTGATAGTGATTACCGTCATATTATCTATGAATAAAAATGTATGTCAACTTTATTGAATAATACGATAACGATTTTATTGTTACATAAACTAGTGATTGTCTCTACTAGAGATGAATAACGTTACTCATTCTGACTTATCATTATAGTAGCAAGTCGACCCTCAATCTTTAAAAGCAATAATCTACTTCGAATAGTGGCCACAACCTTGTCAAGCATTTAATTAGGTGTTGATGACATGAAATATGATGCGAGCACATGAAATCCTATCTTGATTCTAGTTTTATTTATGATATAAGGAAAAATCTAGATAGCTAGGGCCTACGTGGCCCTGTCCGTGTAGCAAACTTGATGATATTATTGTTCTGGAGGTTAAGTCATGCCTTATTCAAGGTCGTAGCAATTAATGCTTCTTGAATCATCACATGACCCTCATAACACACACATCTAATTGCAATTGTTTGGGTATGTGTACACTTTGAAAAATAAATTATAAGTGGCACATAGGATTTATAAAGCATATGCCCTAATAATTAAAAATAATAGTCCTTTGTGGGTCCATTTCATAATTAAAATTGTTAATGTAACATATTTTTCCATGTAATTATCGTTTGTGGCTCTTTTGTGTGTGTGTGTGTGTTTTTTTTTTCTTTTGGTAAACGAAAATCAAATGGAAAATATAAAGAAATATTTATTTGAAATTATATTAAAAAAAAACTACAAATCATTTTGTAGTCAGCACAGAATTGATATGTTACGTATGACTTTAAGCATTATTCTACTTAAAATTTCTCTCATTATTTTTACATTTAATTTTTAATATTTTTCTTTGATCTCGTCACAACTTTTAAGTTAAATCTTGATAATTAATATCCATTGTATGATCCAAAAGATGTTTTACTTTATCCTAAAGCATCAACTGAGGCGACCTCCGTCTATAGCACAGACAATTCACGTCTTTAAAATTATTCCCCACTATGCAAAAATGTCAAAAGTTGCAAAGTTTTCTGAAAATTGATGATGGAAGTCCTCATCTTTTTAATTTTATTTGAAAAATACTCATTTTTTGTTAAATAATTCAATAGTTGTAGGCCTTCTGATGGAAAGGGAATCATCATATAGTCCCAGCTTGCTTGGTTAAAACATTTGCAGAATATGATTCGATAAAAGACTCTCATAGCTACATTATGATTTCAAAAAGTGTGACGACACTTGGATTGTCAAAAAACAGACGCGAGGTGAAAAAGAGACACGCTAGATATGTCATGGTACGGGATTATTTGGACTACAAAATCAAACTAGATTATAGAGCAAGATTTGATAAGTAATAGTCAACAAATTGGAATTCATTTATCTTGAGCCCCATAAGGAAAGGGATAATTTCTAACAAAGTTTTCGTATTGTTAATTTCTAGGTGTAGTGCTTCTTCTCCGATGCTGAACAGTACTCAGTTTTCAAATCTTTTTAAACATCCTCAAATTATTCTATTAGACGAATGTGTTATTAAAAACGAGTTTGAAAAAAAAAATTCAAATGAGCTATACCAAACAAATACTAAATATAGTTCATTAGGACTTGGATAAAATATACATAATTCTACACATTATTTTGCTGAAAACCAAATCTTAGTTCTCCATCACTAAGCCCAATTTTCCAATATGATCATCATATTAACGAATTGCGTATCCAAGTATTGTTAAGCTATAATCCAACTTATTTTATTAAAAAAAAAAAAAAAAAAGAAAAGAAAAAAAAAAGGCCCAATTTTAGCACAAACACGTAAAAATTCAAACAGTTTATGCTTTGTCATGATGAGTTATTTTTTATTTTCTTAATCATGTATTTGACTTGTTTTTCACGATTTTATTACGTGAATATAACACATTCTTCTATAGTAAAGACAATTACCAAACACATTTTGTAGTGCATCAAGACTTGCTACATGCATGGACAGACTCACATGGTGTCATGTGAGGTCAATTATTTTTTTATTTTTTTTTCCTTAAATCTATAAATTATTCAAACTTGTTGCCAACCCCTCTTCTTCTTCTTCTTCTTCTTCTATTTTTTTTTTTTTAATATGTAAATTAACCAAAACTTTGCCATTGCCAAGCCCATTATTGCTCTTCACTTGTCCAACTCCAAGCCACCAAGTCCATTACCATTTTCTCTCCAATTCTTCAAGTGGCAAGCTTTTCATTATTTCATATGCATTTGGACAGACTTTGCCCTAAAGCCTCACAGAGAGAAATGAAGAATTGACATGGAGAGTTCGAGGTCACTAATTCGCCATTCATATTTTCGGATTTTCTCTTCTCGTGCTAATTTTGTGATTTTTCTTCCATCTAGGTAACAAATCTATTGTCTACTTGTTTGACATTTGTTTTTCTTCCATCTAGGTAGCAAACCAAGGTCCGTCCATATCTGTATTAATTGGATATGGCTTTAATTTTTCTGTTAATTTAGGCCTTTAATTAGTTGTTTTTAAATTTAAGATATGCAAGTGCATTCTACTTGTTGAAAATATATGTATCCTTGTCCCTTAATCTCTAGTTTGTGCCGCAAGCTCTCAATTATCTTGATATTAAAAATGTGTTTCAAAGTTCAATGATTGTGACCTGTAATTTGTCATTTTTTCGTAGGGCTTGTTTTGTAGTGATTATGAGAATTGGTTTTTGAACTGTTAGAGAGAAAAATGTATCCCATCCATGAGAAAAGAAGTCAAAAATGATGAGTGACTTATGAAAGTAACAATTAAAATTTTGATTTTTTTGGGTGAAAAATCAAAAACCAAACATGTACTTAATTCGAAAGTGATAGAAGGGAAATTAAATTCAGAGAGATTGTTGCGTACTGCGTACAAGTGAAAAAGGGAATAAAGAATTTGAAGCAGTATCATGGTGGGAGTTAAATTATTGAATTACTTTGTTTATATTTTGATGTCTAATTGACATGGCCTTGCAGAATTTTCATTTGGCTCGAATTACTTATGTATTCGCTGAATTTGGCATGTTTAGGTGATAACTATCATAATGACGAGAGAAAATAATATTCCAATGATGAAACATGGACGGATGGACCCATTCGTATAGCTACCAAGAACTTGTCCACAATAGAAATTTTGATGTGTGATGAGATTGGACAGTGCTTTTTAACCTCCACTTGTATATTTTAATTGATAGGTAATTGAGGAGATATACGTCGTTTGTTCAAAATAAATTATTATCAATTTCAAGTTTGGACATCATTCTCAATTTCAAGTATGTAATGGCTTTCTCTAACTTGATGATCTAGAGTTGTCTATGAAATTAATTGTTGTCTATTATGATTAATGAATTTCATATTGTCTTTTGACTAAAAAATGAAATATGGTATTTATTTATTTATGTATTGAATTTGATTTTGTAACAGTTATGGAGAAATATTTTAAACAAAAATCCATATTTTCGAGTGGAGGGCAAAATATAGTTGAAGCGAGTGTTCAATTTTTTATCCCACAATACTGAATGTCTGACTCCATCCCCGACTACATGCTAGTGCAAGGACGTGAAAATTACTCTACCACACTTGTTTATTGATGAAAATGACACTTTAGATATTAAACTCTCACAAGATTTTGTAATCTTTTGTTCATGGTCGTATAATCATAATTTGACAACGAGGAGTAGACGACTTAAAATTTCAAAATAATGACCATACTAAAGAAATGCAATAGTATTAACATCTTGTGTCCGTATTAACAAAAATAAATAATGATTATCATAAAAAAAAATTAATATCAATGTACTTCATAATAAATTTATAATAACAATAATACAAGTGAGTTTTAGTAAATTTAATAATGAAAAATATTACCCAATTTACATTACGTGATAGTTGAAGACATGAATAAAAAATAAAAGAATGGACTTGTGTTGGAATCTATAAATAATATTTGAACTTATTATTATGTATTATTTAATTACAATATACTGTTAATTTGAATATAACATAATCCGAAAATTTAATTAATTAGTCTTAGTAACTTATTAATACATCACGCAAAGTTGTGATTATGAGATGCAAGATTTAAATAACTTAGTGTTAAATTAGATCTAGGTGTAATTAATAACGAGATAAGAACATTGTTATTACCAATATACTAGAACGTATCGTATTTCTTTCTTGTGAAGAAAGTAGTTGATATCACTCGCTAAAATGCAGAGATATTTAAATAAATGTGTGGATGTTGTGTTCAAAGAGAAAGACAT